TTAATAATATATAGTAGTGTAGTATCTACTGTAGTATGTCTATCTNNNTATATATACTATAGTATCGTACTCTCTCTCTCTCTCTCTCTCTCTACTATATATATATATATATATATATATATATATATATATATATATATATATATATGGGAAAAATTCCTGATAGCCCACTAGCTAAGAGTTACAGCATTAGCCCAATGGCCCAGATTGAATATGGGCTGATCCAATAGTCACGATTGCATTTTGTATTTGGATTTTATTTTATTTTTATGTAAATTCAAATTATTTGAAATTTAAGTGTCTATTCTTTAAAAATAGGAGAATCTATTAACAATATCAAAATAATAATTTGTAAAAAAATAAATTGATCAAAGTACTATCAATTAAAGGATTGTTTAATAATTAAGTGAATGTACTTTCAACAAACACCGGAAAAACAAGCAACTCATAACTTTGAAGTTGCTTATGCAGTAATTGTTTTCCAAAAACATGAAACAAAATTTTTTTCTGCTATTTTCCAGGACGATATGATCTTGCTCGTGCATTTGAGAAATGGGGTGGTCTTCATGAAGTCTCACGCCTTCTTTCCCTTAAAGTTAGACATGGTAGGAAAGCCGAATCCACAAAGGAAAAGAACGATACCACTGGTTCGGGAGACCAAAGCACTTCAGAGGAAATTCCAATCAACAGCCATGTTTCTCAGAATACCCGAAAATGGCTCTTGAAACTTAAACATTTGGACATAAATTGGGTTGAATAGATTGTGTAATTCATTATTCCTTTACTTCTGCAAAGAATTTAATCAAGAGCGTTAGTGAAAAGGTCTCAAGTTTCAGGTTGTTTTGAGTGTTAATTTCCATTGGGAATAAGGCCATGAGATTATTATTCCCAAATATGCCTTGGTGTTTTAGGAAGATCATGGGAAAAACAGTCGCGTTTTAGGAGTATCATGGGAAGGTTTAAAGGCATATTTTGAGCATATTAGAGGAATACAGTGCACTCAAAATATGGCAAAAAGGGACAGTTGGGGCAAAGGTTTCCTGAAATTTACGGAACTGATAGCCCAAAAGTTGATGGCCTTTTGGTGTCTATCTCTCTCTCTCTCTCTCTCTCTTTCAGGACTAGAACTAGGTTTTTTTAAAGGAAAAAGTTTATACGAGGGTGAGGCTCTAAACAATCAATTTATGTTAAAAAAAAAATCACTAAAAGAGGTGTTTTTAGAAGCCCAAAAATTTTCAAATTGATCATCTCGACTTCAAGATGTGTAGACATGAGAAAAAATGTATTTTGAGTTTTAGAAATAGTGCATCTTGTAATGCATTTTGGACTGTCAATTTTTAAGTATTCATAAATCTGTTCGATCAACATTACTATTGAAGTTTTAAATTTTATAATTAGAGATGAAAATAAATTTTCAGTCCATCAATTTTTCAGTATTGACATATTTCTTTCGATACTATTTGAAGGCATATTTTATTTTGATTGTTTAGAGCCTTGGCCTTATAAAAATTATACCTTTTTTTAAAGGAGCCCTGTCATTATTAGATAAGGTTATTTGTTTTTGGTATAAAAAGATCATAATTATTATTTAATCATTAGATATGAAATTGGGTGGTTGGGATGTGTTATTAACTAAGCACAATCCTATAAATAATTTTTTGAAAGTTACAATATGTTACAATTTATTTTAATGCCACATCAAATGATTGTGACTTCTTTGTACTTAAAAAGTAAATTGTTATATAGTATACAATCCATTTATTTTATTGCATGGAATCTTACCATAGTGTAGAGCACCAAACTCCACTAGCAGTACTTAAAATCCACTGGAATCCAGTGACCTTGGGCCTTCCAAATCTACAATTGTTGGGGCTTACGTAGCCCGAAAAGAAAATTACAAGTTAAATGGCATGGTTAAAGGAGGAAATGACATAGATGATTCCCAAAATGGTTTGATGTCCTATTCCAATACGAAAAAGGTTTCTATACTTCTCTTACGGCAAGCATCTATATATATGCTTCCTTTCCCATCCAACCGTTCAATTTTGATTAAGTGAGTCACCCACCATTTGATCTAGATACGCCATCTCAGAGTATTTTATTTTTAGGTTTTTTTAACATATTGTATACTTGTCATCTTCTCATTGGGACATATCTAAAAAAAATATTAAAATTAATTTTTTGATAAAATATAATAACCGAAATACCCATTGAAACTTTCAAGGCCATTTTGGTTATTTTATATTAGGGAATATTTTTTTTAATATTTTTTACAAATACGAGTTTAAGAGAAGATTGTTCACTCAAAAGTTTGGTGTCAAAATATATTGTATAAAAAAGTTAAAAATAAAATAATATAGAGATTTGCCATTGTGATTGGGGTCATCTTAATATTAAGAATGGTTGGTTGGATAAAGGGAAACACACAAGTTTTATGCTGCAGGGAAGCTTAAAAAGCTTGCTCTTCTAATATTTTATTCATCTCTTATTTTTGATATTCTAGAGGATTGAAACTTGAAAAACTTACTCTTGAGTCACTCCAAAATAAACGGCTGTATTAGATAATTGTATTTTAAAAAACATGAGCAAAATTCCCACTTTCACAACTTTTATGAAAATGAAAAATAGTAATTAAAGGAGAATTGTTAGATGCATCCAAGCCCACACCTGTTACCGTTGGAGCTTCGAGATCTGCACCATCCACTAAAGAAAGTGTAGATCTACACCATAAATAATTGTTCTCCAAAGAAAAGATAAAATCAATGGTTTGAATATTTTATCCAAAAAATATCATTTTTATTTTTAAAATTTGTTTATTTATACAAATTAATAATCTACATGTTAAAGATTATATATTTCTTAAAAATTAAGATTAATTCTATTTCAAAAATAAATTATTAAGGGGCCTGTATTTCTACATGTGAATCCATAGACTCATAGAAACCGTATCCTTAATTTAATGTTGAACTTTCCTTATAAAATCACTGGTGAGTTCAACCGCATAGTTAGCAAGTCGGGGACTATCATTAAATTGGCTCACCATAAAATCGGAAGTAAATCGTTTTTATTTAAAAAAATCGGATGAAAAAAAAATACGGATCGACAAAAATACTTAATATAAAGATATCGCTAATATATCGGATTAGGCTCAAAAAATTGGAGTGAAAAAATCGGAAGAATTTATAATATTAGAAATTTTGAAATTCTAATTATGTCAAAGCCATCAATTATTAATTTATCTATAAAAACTTTACTAGACTAATATAATTAAGTCAATTAATTTAGATGTCTCTTGACTCTCATCTAATCATCCAATATTATATATATAATTAATTAGTATATACCAAAAAAAGTACCATATAAATCTACCCATTAAATACCTTAAGAAACATCACACCTACGCATTACATACAAAAACAAATATAATATATAAATTTATTCATTAAAATACTTTAAATATGGTATGGTGACAAATATACTATAAATTTATTCATTAAATACTTCAACATAACTCCTACTTAGCAGGTACCAAAAAAATAAATACACGATTTTTGTTTTCTCATTACAATTATTTAACTATGGTATGATGACTCCATAGCTGTGGTTATATGGTCACTCCATAGCTGTGGTTAAAGTTTTATAAATTTCTTTAGTTGAAAAGAAGTTCGTAGAAATTTGGATTTTACATTTGTTTTTACTATGTAGAGAGAGAAGAAGGAAGAATGACGAAGAAGAGAGAAGAGAGAAGAGAGAAGAGAGCAGAAAGAAGAAAGAAGAAGGAAGAGAAGAAAATAGGGCTCGGCTCATAGCCATTAGAGTTTATAGAGAGAAGAAGGAAGAAGAAAATGATTTTCACAAACCCTAATAGATGGGGCCCTAACGGATTTTGAGAGAGAGAAGAAAGAACCTTAATGGAAGAGGCCCTAACTGATTTTTAGAGAGAGAAAAGGAAGATGAGATGCTCATTTAGGAAGATGGGATGCTGATTTGGGATAGTTTGAAGAGGGCTTTTTTCTCTGATTTGGGATAGTTTGAAGGGGGCTTTTCATTTTCTTGAGGAAACAGAGCTGAAGGATTAAGTTTGGGGAACTAACACTATATGTATATTTGCTTGCTTCTGTAAGTTTACAGTTTACACAATCAAAAACAAAAATATTGATTACTTGGTTATGTAGTCACACTCTCTGCTTCTCATTCATCAGTAAAAAAATATTTTTTGAGCTTTAATTTGTGCCATTAACAGTATTTTCATAAAAACAATTATCACAAATAATCACAGCAATCTGCCTGTTTATGATTTCTTTACACAATGATTTACTTTAAAAAATGATTTGCTATAAACAATTTTTCATTTACACAATGATTTTCCAAAAGGACAACTGAAATTTGCATCTATTTGATTAAGTTTTTTGAAAAAATTCGTACCACCAATATGCAACTCTGGCTTTGAAAAACACAATGGGGATAAAAGTTTCTATTTCAGTTTTTTTTTTGTAGTAATTATTTTTTTAAAGCATGAAAGTAGCCATAGATGCAATAGACAAAACAGGACAAAAAAATATAGGTAAAAGAGGATACGATTTTTTTCCCTGATTTAAATCATGCCGTAAAAAAAACTGTTTTAAACTGGTTTATGAAAATTACGCGATTTTTTTACCAACCTTTTAAAAAAGTCGCTGTTTAAAACTATTTCCATAAAAATGCCGAATTTGTGAAAAAAATCGCCGATTAAATGGCGATATGCTAATTATGGTTCAACCTCTTAAGGTACAAACGCAAGCGAGTTTTAAATACATATAAAATTTAGGGTGTTTCGGTAATTTTAAAATTTAAGGTGTTTTGGTAATTTTACTAAACTTAAGTGGCCTCAACAAAAAA